AATTATCTATGGCTTGATCATAAGATTAAGGGGTTTCAAACTTTTATTAGAGAAATAAATCCACCACTAACAAAACAATAATAATATTCCGTTTGTTTCAAAATAATTGTCCCATTTTAATTGTTAAATTTGCTAACACAATTACACAATTATTTGATCAATAATATATATGATAATTATTATGTTCCATAAATAATAATAATAAAAAATTGTTTTTTTTTTAATTTTTTTTTTAAATTATACATTGAGACAATTTTAATATGTATTTACTTGCTTATGTTTAATCTTAACTAAAATACTCCATATATATATTTTGAAACGAATATGGTTGCATGGCGCAACTAAGTACTTTGTTCCATCTCTCAATTTCTAAGTGAATAGCCGTGCTCAAACGTTGTACGGGCACTGTCCTGTAGCTAAGATGAAGCAGTCATTGCCAGACTAGACTTAGAATGACTTTAGGTAAGGGTATGTATTAAAAGAAACAAAGAAACAAACAATTAGAAGAATTGTCAAATATTATACAGTTGTGTAAACCAAGTCAATGCTCACAACAAATTGTACACTACTATAATATATATAATACCTCCATTTGCATTTTCTTCATACCCACCCTCTCACCATTTTCTTCTTCTTCCTTAATTACTCCAATTATTGTTCTTTCTTCAAAATTACTCCTAAGTTTTCTCTGATTTTCATTATTCTTTCTCATTATCCTCTGATATCTTAGGTGTTTCATTCCAAAGTTTGCTGCTTCAATGGCTGTAAGTTTCTTATTCTTTTACTAATGCTTTGACTTTTCAAATTTTGTGTTTTTTTCTTGGTTTTTGATTGAGTTTTCTGGGATTTTTGTGGGTTTATTGATTTAGATAATATGAACGTTTTTTGGGTGTTTTTGGATGGTGGAAGATCAAGGAAATTATGTTGCTCTGTTCATAGTTTGTTGACTGAATTGGGTTTGAAATTGCAATCATTATCAGTTCTTTGTTTATGATTATGAATTATTTGCAATAATCTTGTAAATTTGGCATTACTGATTTTGGAGATTTTGTGATTAAAACATTGTACTTGCAATACTTGCAAAGTTGTAATTATATAGCTCCAACTAATTTATATTATAGTTTATGTACTAAATACTAATTATAGTTTTGATATCATTGCTTGATTATAGTATTGGTATCTTTTCAAGGTAAGATTTGAATGATTTTAATGTAAAGGATTTTTAGAGATGTCATTAACATTAGCAAAGTCAAATTCAGTTTATAGTGCGTCAACTTATGTTATCTTAGCAGCAATAAATATTGCCTTGAAAAATCATCACCCCTTTTGGCTTTTCATATGGTTTTGATCTCCTTAATTGTGTAACGTCTTAATCAGAGTACACGCTTTAAGTAATACTTGTTTATTCCACCATAAGAGATTTTTCTTGGACATTGCATTTTTGGAAATATTGACTTTGGTTATTTTTGATGTTGGGATCTTTGGTTGTCAGATGTAGTATTGATTGATGCTACTAGAGCCCTTTACTACGAAGTATCTTGTAAAATTTTAACCCTATTTGGTTGTTTTGTGAGATGACTGAGATCCTATTAAGTTGTGTACATGTCAACATCATAGTGCTAAAGTTTGCATTCTGTTTCACAATAAAGTTGAAAATGCTTAACCATATTTTACAAAGAGGCCGAAGATAGTGATACTGAGCAACTGATCGTTATTTAAATGCATTATGTCTTCAGATTCCAGGAACAGATAGCTGTTTCATCAAATATTTTGGCAATATTGATGTAACATGAACAAATAACTCTTTTCCTTCTAATACAAACTCCTTAACTTGGACTCGGTAAAGGATCAAATGAGTTTTTTCGAGTGGCTAATGACTTAATCAGTTATGACACTCTTTTGCACAAGTGTGGTTCATGCTGTAAATTAGTGGTACATGTTTTCAGTTACATGTAGTGTTCTTATTAAGATCACTTGATGTGAAATGCGTGCTGAATGAATTGAACCCAAATTTGTATTATTACCTTTCTTCTTCTTGTGTTCTGATTTATAGTTGGTTTGTTTGACAAATTTGGTTGTGTAATAGACTACTTACTGTAACTAAAGAATGAAGTTTTGTGTTGTTATCATACTTATTACCTCTTGTGCTTTCTAACGTCAGCAGTCTAAAGTACCGAAATTTGGTGCATGGGAGGGTGGAGAAAACTACACAGTTTTCTTTGACAATGCACGAAAGAAGAAGAATAATGGTCAGATAATAAACCCGAATGACCCTCAAGACAATCCTGATATGTTTCCACAAAACGGAGGCCCAGCTCCAGCTTCTAAAGCAGAACCTAAAGGACAGCAATCTAAAGCCCCAGAATTTGGTGCCTGGGAAAATGGAGAAAATGTTGCCTACACCGAGTATTTTGAAAATAAACGAAAAACCAAGAACGGTGAGCCCACAGCATCAGTGAATGAGCCCCAGATGAACCGAGACATGCATCCTCGTAAGGATCCTCCTGCTCAGGCTCGTCCTGCACCATCTAAATCAGAACCAAAACAAGAATCACGGGCAAAGGTGCCACCGTTTGGTGCTTGGGAAGGTGGTTATACCCAGAGCTTTGAAAATGTTAGGAAGAACAATAGAAATGGGCGTACTGTCACACCAGAACCTTCTTCTGATGCACCTCGTGGTGTAAGTGAACCTCCAGCTAAAGAGGGCCGTTCTAAAGTGCCTCAGTTTGGTGATTGGAATGAGGGAGAAAACGGTGCATACACCGCTTATTTTGAAAATGCTTGGAAAAATAAGACTGCAGGGCCTGTACCAGACCCTGTGGAGCCCCAGCTCAACCGAGATGTTAACAATAGAGCTCGGCCTTCTTCTGCTGCTGGGACTAAAATTAAGGCAGATGATCATCAGTTGAGAAATGCAAGTAGAGGGTCCAATTCTTCTATGAATGAAACTCCTCAGAGAATTGGAAAACAAAATCCTGGGGGTCATTCACCTATTCATCAGAAAGGAGGCAGGCTTCAGCAAAGACCTCCAGCTGGTCGAGGAAATCAAACTGTAAGTGTACTCCATTTTTCACTATCTATTTTCTCCATCAAATGATCTTTGCTTTCTTTATTGTCAGAAAAATAAAAATTGTGTTACTAATAACTTCGTGTTAAAACCTTTAACAGCCAGATAGAGGGACAGCAATTCCAGCATGGGGTGTCTGGAACACTGATCCTCAGCAAGCTGAGGGTTTTACGGGTGCTTTCACAAGGGCTAAAGAGGAGAGGAACACACCCCTCAACTCGAACATTCCACAACGCCATAACCAGCAACATCAGAGATCACCAGAGAGAAAGGTTAATATTGCATCATGTACTCAACTGCAGTCTAAAGGATTTGTTTTATTATGCTCGCTAATTTACTTTTGTTTCTGGTTTTACAGAAGGGAGGTTGCTTTAGTTGTTTTTTTGGATAAAGAACGCTGTCTAGTTGTTAATCCAATTATACGACGAAGGCCTAAGGGCTTGGATAGTCTTGGGTGGTAATGACTCTTATGAGCTACAAATTGGCTTGTTCATATGTCAAAGAGCCAAAAAAAGAGTTTTGAAGAACAGGAATGATTTTCTGACAATGGGTGTTTCTATGTGTGCTTTTCTTTTTCTTTTTGGGGATGGGTGGGGATTCAATGGTGTAATTGATAACTTTAGTCTATGCTTTCGGGTTTGGGTTCATTATTTATTCTTTTGAAGGATCCCATATGATTAATATTCTTTGAAGTTGTTGGTATATGTTTTGAAGTAGACTTTGAGCTTCCATTTGTTAGTTGTAACAATCTTATTATGCATAAATTTGAAGCAAACTTCTTGAGGCTCAATGAAATATTTTCATGGTCTATGACTTTCCAACTTATCCACTGAAATATCCTTCTTGCTTGGCCTGAACATTGTAGAACTGTCAGACCATGTCAGCATGGCATGGTTGCCTCGCGTCTTCCTGCTAACTTGCACGACTGCACATTGAGAGTTGTCAATCCTTCACAGTGTCTTGTACAATTGTATGTATCGCGCACAAACTAATTAAAAGCCCCAGATAACTAGTGATAATGCGCCACAAAGTGAAAAAGATACTGTGGCTAACTGTTTAGGCTAACTGAATATGAGGGAAAGGAAAGTAGCACCAAGTAAAAAGAAATGCAGCATTTAGATGTAGAATGAGCTCTCTATTTCGCTCTATTACGCCCTACAATTCTTTTGCATATAATCACTTATCGCCTTGCCAACATGAACAAGCATGTATCATTGCTAAATACAACAATCAAGTTTGTAAATTGTAAACAAGACATAATCCTGAAGTTTGGAGATGATAATTAACCTCATCATCACTAACTTTCAAGATGACTTGTTATGAGCATTCACTTTTTTGCTACGAACAAGTGGTTAAATCATTGGATAACTAGTAAGGAAGTTGTTTTTATCTTAACTAGAAGTCTCGAGTTCAAGATTTCAGAATACAAAGCTCTTAGAGTACAACAATATTCATTGGGAGAGTTTTTTCTTCAACAGTTTTATATTTTGACTCAAATCCAGATTAGTCAGAGTCTAATAGGCTTTTGATTATAGGGTGACATACCCTAAAAAAAAAACATTTTGGCTACTCGTATTTGACAATTCCAAACTTTTCTCAAAGTATGAATGGTTAAAGACGTTTTTAAACTCTTACGTACTAGAAAAAAGTTAATTTAATCCATTTATTTAAAAGCAATAATTTAAAAATGATGGACTTTTGCAGTTTTAAAAAATAGATTCGTCGACAGCAGGGTTCGAACCTGCGCGGGCGAAGCCCAACAGATTTCAAGTCTGTCTCCTTAACCACTCGGACATATCGACATTTGATGCTTTAAAAGATAAAGTAAATAATTTAAATAAAACATTTCATTTTTATAAGAAGTTTTAATTTTTATTTTAATTTTTATTTTTTATTTTTTATTTTTTAAATACCAAAAAACATAGATACTCTGTAATCTGTATTGGGTAACATCTGATTTGAGAAAATACCATATGATTTAAAAAAGCTCAGGAAAGAGAATGCACAGTTGCACACCACCTGTTCGACAAAATGCCTAACTGAAAGATTCAAAGTACACAAGTTTTGCACCTGATCAGTGATCACCATTTGAATTTTATGTCTTCTAACCCAAATTCAACCAATCTGAGGTTTAATCTGATCCTAACTTTAGGAATTTTGACAGCCAGAACCATGTCAATGTGTGAGTATGTGTAGTTCCATCTTTTTTTATATGTCATACACTCATACTCCCTACTTTGTTCAAATATGGCAACATTTACTGAGGATGTTCCGGGTTCGAGTAATTGGGTGTCTTCAGGATTAGGGCTGTAAGACAGTAGAATGAGGTCTGCATTAAATATGTGCAATGTTCAAATTTGTTTATTGGATAATAATCATATGGGAAGATAAAAGTGTCTCCAATTTATATGTATTTGCAGGTTCCTGAGATGGGGATTTTGGTACCACAATGTAATGCAGTGTAACTGTCTATGTATCTCCATGTATATGCACTGCTTGAGTGACATCTGGAGGCGCAGCCTATACCGAGAATCCAGTCAATGCTCATCACTTTCTGTTATGCTGGTGTATGGTGTCTGCTGCTGCATTTGTTGTGGCCGTGTGGAAGGTAAATCCAGTTTTATTTCACAGTATGTCAAAATTAGATTTGAGGTTGATCAAGCAATTAAGGTCCTGTACTTTTGTTTCTGATTCTTGAGTTACTTACATATTTAGTATTTAATCATGGTAGCTATTTGTTATTATTAAGCAACTCAGGGCTTAGTACATGATCCCGGTATCTTGCATCCATCTATTGGTGTGTAATCATTATAAGTCAACCAAGATTTAGATTTCTCCACGCAAATATAACAGCAAATCACACTGTAAACATCAGTATGCTGCCAACTCTTTGACTTGCCTTCCAAATATTTTTACAAGTAGCCCTAGGTTTGACTATCTGCAACCTAAAAAATATTCCGGCTCACTGAACTGTGCTGCTGAAACTAATGGCCAACAGTTTCATGTTTTAAGTGATAGGTTAATTGACTATTTTAATTGGTCATTAGGGATTGGCCTAAGGGGAAGGGCATTCTAGATTTCTAGATAGTGCAATTTACTGATGCTGGTACTTGGAGGAGGAAGTTAATAGAAGGAATGAGATTCAGAAAATGCTATAAATAAGGGAGAGTAGGCAAAGAGAGAAGCATCCATAATATGAAATTGTTGCCTTAGCTTAGTCTACTCTTGGTAGTAATCAGGCCACTCGAAAGCTTTACATTCTATCCTTTATTTTTGCTGTAATTCAGAACTATAAATCTAAATTTCTCTCTTACAAATCTAAAGTACTAAGAGAACCTTAAAAAAACTGTCTGTTAACTCTTAGATTGAAAAGCAGGTTCATGTTTGAACTTGTTGCTGGTTCTATGAGGAATACAGATAGACGGTTATTGGCATAGGTTATTTGGTATAAATAAATGATACGGAGTATATCAGGTGAGAAATTTGTAAGTATGATGGATTTGGTAAAATATTTTGTTCTTATGCTGATAGTTGAAGGCTTGAAGCCCATAATTGGTTTATTTACTATATCACGTGGATGAGATTTGAACCCGTGACCTTTGTGTCACGTTGGCTCTAATATAATGTTAAAGGACCAACTCAATCAAAGGCTTAAGCGTTAGGTTAAAGCCCACAATTGGTTTATATACTCTATCATCCCTAGTGAATTTTATGCTAGATTTCAACAAAATACTGAGTGTAACAGTTATCTTTACATATAAATAAGTCACGGGCTAGGAGAATTTTCTGAAATGTCATTCTGGTTTTGTTTGAGCTCATACAATCTTAACGTAGAAGTAATTTTTCCCTGACATTTTGATATCTTTCAATATTTGTATGTGTATGACGAACTTAGACATCTACTCTGAGAAAGAAACAAGAAAGAAGACAAGTGCTGAAATCCTGAAATCTCTAACACCTCTTGTGCTTTGTAAACTCTCCAGTCTAAAGTATCGATGTTTGGTTCATCGGAGGGTGGAGAAAACTGGACGGTGTGCTTTGACAATGCAAATGAGCAGAAGAATAAGGGACAGATGATAGACCCAGTTGACCCTCTAGATGGATACCCTGGAGCAGATTCAAAGGAACAGCAATCTGAAGTCCCCCAGTTTGGTGCCTTAAATAATCAAGACAAAGTTGGCTACACCACTTATTTTAACAATATCACAGGGTCAAAAGTGAACCCCTGATGAACAAAGACGTATGCTGTGAGACTGAGAGGGCCTCTCAGAGGGGAAATTATGGGGGTTCCTGCTGGCCAATATTGGCGACAAAGTATCCTCTACTAGATGATGATTGGATGGATGAAGTAGACAGGGGCAATGATCAGCAAGATGGCAAGGGTGTTGGTCAAATTAAAAACCAAGAGAAAAACGTAAGTTTAGTATCTTATGCATACACTGTCTTGAATTTACTTGCTTCAAAACCTCAGGAAAACTAATTTTTGCTCCCTTCCCAGGTTGGATGTTGCTTTCCTTGCTTTCCTTGGTTTGCAGGGAATCTTTAGACTGGCTCCCTAGATTTCAGAATCCAGAGGGCTAATCAAAATAAGGATATAGTTTCCATTTATGATTTATACAAAGGATCCTGTATTCTTCTCTCTAATTTCAGACGGGCATGCTTTAAGCCTGTAAGAGTAATTTGCAGAAGTCAGGGAAGTTACATGAACTATAAAGGTGTTATCTTTGTGCATTTGTTTTGAGCACAGTGATGCTGTTGTTTACTTCTCGTTGTCATGATGTAGATACCTCTCTTGCTTCATTGACTCTATTCACCATTATCAAGATTAATACAAATGTATTGTGTGCTAGATTGGTCCATACTGTCATCTTTTCATTTTAACTTTCCAATAGTACAATTCTCTGGGGCTAGAAGAATATGTCTGCTGATATCTCTTACTGTTTTATAAGGTTTCAGCTCATTGAATTCTTTTAGTAATTTTCCTCTGGCATTCTGTTGTATTTGTGTTGTGCATGCCAATCTCTTTTAATCTTTCAAAAATTTTACAGACAATCCTGTGTTTGGCAACCTGAAACATTCCTGCACACTGAACTGTGCTGCTGAAACCAATGGCCGACAGGTTCATGTTAAGAATCAGCGCTGTCGTGAGACTTAGAAATAGCGGGGCAGTCTTCAATCCCTTCGCTTTATCTGTGAGTGAATTAAGCCACTCGAAAGCTTGATATTCTATCCTTAATTTTGCTGTATTTCAGAATCATTATTATAGATTTCTCTCCTAAACATCTAATTTCTGTTCTTGAAATCTCAGTTCATTAGATTTTCCAAATATATTACAAAGAAATAACATGTTCTACATATATTCAATCGTCTACAAGGAAGTAATACTGCAACTCATACAACTATACAAGTGCATATCATGATCACAGAAATTCATAGGATATCTTTTTCTACGAAGTATTAGATTAAGAATTCGGCCTGTAGTAAGCATAAACTTTATAGAAGCTCTGTATGGCAGTAAGAAACAATAGAATAATAGCAGCAACCAGTGAGATGATAGCCCAAGGATTATAAAAATACTTGTGAAGCAGACTTGCTCGCCATCTATTTCTTCTCTGGTTGTAGTAAGCATTCACTTGCTTGGATAATTTTGCATAGTAACCACCATGTGCATCCACTAACATTTCTTTAGATATGCTCTTGAACATGTCAACAACTTCTGAATCATGTCCAAGAAGATGCTGAATGATTCCACAATGGTGAAGGTGGCACACATCTTCTGGGGATTTTATTAAGCATTCCATGAAGACCACATATGATGCAATTACAGCATCACTTATCTTCAGATGACAGCTCTCAAAGGCCGTTACATTCAGGAGGGTGGCCATTGTACTACCTTGTATCCAAATTGGAGGAATTTCAAGAACCCCGCTCTGGAACCTGATGTCCCAAAAACAACTGGTGTTCCGCTTCCTGAATTTTACTCCTCCCTCTATGAGCTCAGTGACTTTATGTATGACTTGTCCACCCCTTACATTTCTATCTGGGGCATTATTGGCGTGTCGGCGCTGTAGCCACTGCTTCAGAGACCCAGGGACAAGCTTATCACATTCCCTCCATTGGAATCCATACCTGTACGAGGTATCCTGTTGGGGCAATATATGGAGTAAACTTCGCCTGAAAACATCAAGGATATGAAGGTACTCTTCTTGCTCGAGTTCAAGTTTCAATGCATTGAATTCTTTCTTTGACATAGATTTACCTGTCAAGGTGGATATGAAGAAAAAGATGTATCTGGTACTATATGTTATGATGCTTAATGAGACAAATCAGTGATATTTTTTGAGTCTTTTTGTAAGGAAGTTGCTCACAGCTTCTATGCATATATTGCAGTAAGATATATCATTTATATTTTACTTCTTCTAAATTAAAAAAATAAAAAATTAAATTAAATTTAAATTGAGGATAATATTGATGCATACTAAGATTAATATTTCTCTATGTTCTATTGTTCAGAAGAGATTCAGCACTAAATTCCAAGATTACCTGTCAGCCATCTAGGATTGAAGATGTTCAGAGCTAAACCAACAGAGCTGTCCTTAAGGTGCACATCATTAGGATTACCAGCCATGTTCATAAGCTTAAGTAGCCTGTCAATTATGAAAAGTGGAATTTGGTTTTCCAGCATTACCATGTCTAGCACCATGTCTTCAACAATTCTCTTATTAGAGAAAATAGGGTTGCTGCTTGGTGTCCCTCTATCCGGATAAAATAGAAAGAGCTCAAGGATGAAGCAACCATCAAGGACCAACATCTCTACAAACTTATTGCTGCTGAGCTCGGCTTGTTGCTGATAACAAGCTCGCGCTTGTTCTTCAACTTCTTTGATGGTATCAAGGTAAAGGTTTAGGTCCTGACCTGTGCGTTCTAGAATCTGGTACAAAGTGACCCACTTGTGGAAATCCATATCTAGAACTTGTTCACTACCATTATGGTATGGCCCTATGGATACAGTCTGAGGCTCGTAGGAAAACCTGCTCTCTTGGACATCTCTTAGGCGACGAGGCACTCGATATATGCACCACTTTTCCCATGGTCTTCTAGCAGCATATTGTTGGGCTTCCTTGAGTTTGTTTCTTAAGGATATCACCCACTCTTCTTGTTCTCGAGGTATTGAATCTTGAGGATCCATCTTTCTTCTGTTCTGGACCTTCTGGTTTTTGTTGCCGGTCAATCTTTAGCGAGGATCAGTAAACATTTGCAAAGAATGTCCAAAACTATTATTTTTATGTAAAATGACTTTCCAAAGTAAGATATGATCAAAATTTTCTTATCCTTGGAACACGGAAATTGGTCATGAATCATGTGATCAAACTACATTAATCCTCTAGTCACCTTAGTTAACTTTGAGTTTACCTGCTAAATCCTTTCCACGTAGGGCTAATTGCACTCGATTCAACTAATAATCAAGATTCGAGTTCAACACGTCTTTTTAATTAATGTTGCAATAATTGTGCTAGCTATTAAGATATAATATCCTTAGCATACACGATTTTTAAGGAGGGAAATAAGTCCAAAGTTGGTAGGTTTTGAAAATGACAGCAAAAAGTTTCTCTTTAGAGCTGAGTAGGTCTAAGGAACACATTTAGTTAAACTTGCAGCCCTGCAAACGGATCCTGTAAGACTGTATACAGTCAGCTCAGCTGAGTTGAAGTTGAGAATCTGCTATCTCTATGGCTGGTACTGAAACAACTGTCCTGAAGGGAATACATGATTCCAGCAGTCAATCATCTTTGCACCTGGAAGCAGACGGAACACCTCAAATTTCATCAATCGACCAAGTAAGGCTCAAGGTAAGTGCTGCTATTATATGATACAGAGTACTTCATTTTTTGAATGTTTCTGACATATTTTTCTACGAAGTGTTATACAAGCAGGCAAGCTAAGTTAAAGTCAAAATTGCTTCATTTTGCCACTGCAAGTATTAAGAGAGCCTTGAAATTCTATCTGTTTACTCTATTTTTAAAACAGGTTCATACTTAGTTATATCTGATTAAAGACATAAACTTTGAGTACAATATGCTTGGTAAACACTTATATATTTAAACAAGAAACTTGGTATTACTGTTATCTTTAAATTCAACTTCCAACAATGCAAAATTCACAGGGCTTGGAGAATTTACTGATACATCATACTGCTTTGTTTTAGCTCATAGAATTCTTTTAGAGAGAAGTAATATTTCCCTGACATTCTAATGTATTTTACTTATTTTTTCAGCGTATGACATACTTGGTCATTTATTCTGATTAAAGAACAGTAAAGAAGATTAGTGCTGAAATCACTAACACCTTTTGTGCTTTGTAAACTCTCCAGTCCAAAGTATCGAATTTTGGTTCATGGGAGAGTGGAGAAAACTGCTCTGTGTACTTTCACATTGCAGGAAAAAAGATGATAAACTCAGATGACCCTCAAGATGGAGATCCTAGAGCAGATCCAAAGGAACAGCAATCTAAAGTGCTCCAATTTGGTGCCTCAGATAATAGAGTCAAAACTGCTGGCTACACCACTTATATTGAAAATAAACAGAAAGTAAACAACAGATTTCTTACAGTGTCCAAAAATGAACCCCGGATGAAAGGAGATGTGGTTCAAGAGGATCCTTCAGCTCAGGATCGTTCTGCACCAGATAAACCAGTAACACAACAAGAAGCACGGTCAAAGATGCTACAGTTTGGTGTACAGGAGGGTGAAGGCAAAGCTGATTACAACCAGTGCTTTGACAATGTTTGGATGGACAACAAGTTTGGAAACATGGTCTCACCAAAAGTTTCTGATGCACCTCAGTTGAACTCAGATGATTGCAAACCTTCAAAAAAGGATAGTCATTCCATGGAGCATAAATTTTATTGGAGGTATACGATATACTCAGACAACGACAATGAATATGCATATTCGTCTAGTGACAGTTGGGAAGACGAGGAAACCTTGCCTGACGAGGAAACCTTTACTAAGGCAAGGTCTCCTCTACTGGATGAGGGTTGGATTTCTGAAAGAGTTCGGCCTCTAGATAGAGCCGATGATCTGCTGAGTTATGAGGAAGGTAGAAGATCAACAGTTGAGCAAAGTGACGGCATTAGAATTGCATCCCAGGACCTCCCAAATTCTACGGAAGGATCTGAAACTTCGCTTAGGAAGGAATCCAAATCCATGCAGGTAAAATGTCAGTCTATACGTACTTATCAGCCTTTATTCAATGAAGCCAACTGTGAGTACTACTTTTATTACAAGAAACTGTATGTGTGAACTCATTTTTGTGTGACACAAATCTCATCCATTGGCTTCAGCTTCTGCATCTTTTCCATTTCCTTAAAAATAAAATTGACCCATTTTGTATCCCCTCTTCCCCTGCATTTTTTCAGGAAGCTAAAAAGATTTCCTTCTGCTTAATTTCCTTTTCTCACTCTTCTGTACCGTGTTCTTTTATTTCGGTCTCTCATGAATGTTATAGGAAGATTGTAAAATTATCCAAATTTTATACTTCATTAGATAAAAAAAGATATTGTTAAGTGTAATACAATTGAAAAAATTAAAAAAATTGAATATGGTCAATGGTCAATACTCAATATTATGAATGGTAAGATTGAATTTATTAACTGTATAGATTACAGGTAGTTATCATGACCACATTTTGCTGTAGCTAATTTTAATTTATCGTCTATTTAGTGTAGATTAATGATAGTATGGAGCTTCAGTGCTTCACCCTCAAAGTTCCCTATTGGGGATATAACCCAACCCTAAGGTTAGAAGGACGGTTTTTTACCATTGTGTTAGACTAAAAGCAAGAAACCTGCTAATAATACTGTCAATTTTCATTTTTACTTCCAACCGTGCATAACTCATGGGACTGGAAAAAATATTTGCTAATAGTGTCCAAAAATGAATTTCAGATGAATGGAGACATTCTTCTTCATGAGGATCCTGATCCTCCTGCACCAGCTGATTCAGAAGCACGGTCTAAGGTAGTGGTGCCACAGATTGGTGTTTGGGAGTTTGAACGTGAAGCTGGTTGTATCCAGTGGTTTGGCTGTGTTTGGAAGAACATTAAAAGTGGGCTCATGATCACGCCAAAACCTCCCATGAATTATAGTCATAATCAAGATAATCAAGGTCGTTGGCCTGATAATTGTAGTAGTACCCAAATTTCCCCTATGCTCCCATTCAGGCCATGCCTCCAAAGTGATGAGAGTGGAGCGAGTGAAGAATCCAGGAGACTTGTCAATAATGCAAGGTTTCCTCTACTGGATGATGAGGAATTGATTGCTGAAAGAGGTCGGCCTCTTCCTAAGGATTATGGGGGAGGTATGAGATTAACTGTTAAGCAAAGTGACGACAAGGTTATTGGTCAAACTGGAATTGCATCCCGGGGCTTCTCAACTTCTACGACTGGATCTACAACTCCTCTCCAGAAGAAATCCAACCTCATGCAGGTAAAATGTCAGTTTGTATGTACTTTCAGTCATCATTTAATGGATCCAACTGTGAGTACTACTTTCTTTACTAGAAACTGTATATGTGAGCTCATTTTTGTGTGACAAGATATCACCCGTTGGCTATAGCTTCACATCCTTCTGCTTAAAATTGTATCGATCCCCCTGACCCCCTATATCTTGATGCCTTCTGCTTAAAAAATATTCTATTCTTTGCGCCAGTCAAACGTTGGGGCAACCAGTGAAGAGGTCCCAAACAATGACTCTCTTGCATCCCGTGATCACCTGTTAACTGATCATCCCAACCTAGAGAAAAAGGTAAGTCTATCTTATGCACACAAATTTCTCTTGAATGTACTTGCTTTAAAAAATATATATATATAAATAAATAAATAAATAAAAATAAATCTAATTTCATTCTACTTCCTTTTAATCTTTGGCTCCCTTCCCAGATTGTTTAACTGTACAGCGTGTACGTATTAGTAATGAGTGATATTTTTGCATTTGTTATGAGCATAGTGATGAGATAGTCCAATTCATAATACCATAACAGTGTCCATCCCAAAATCATTTTGCTATAGGAGTAGCCTGTTAGCCTTATAAAGTGATTTATTCTCTATTGTTTTTATTAATGTGTGGCACTCACATGTGACTTTTCATGGGGGATAGAGTATTAAGTCCCAATAGGTAACCTTAAAACTGTCAAGTTGTTAACCATTTCGTCATGATGCAGATACCTCTCTTCCTACGCCTTAAAAGTTTTTATTTTGCATCATCAACCTTTGTGGGTGTCATTAAGGATGGGATGAAACATGTTAGGGAACAAAGCTAGGGGTCTATGCAGAAACATTTGAATTGAACCAGGAACATGCACAAGAGTTTCCATACTACTATATTTCTGATTGAATGTCACATATACACACGTTGGTTTGTAGTGCATCACTGCACCACAGGGTTATGCACTCACTATATCAATTTCTAATTCAGACTGGATATAGTATTATAGCAATGTGCGTGCGTATCTAAATGTAAGAAGACTCACATTGGATTAAGTCTGACTTGCCTTACCTTAGAAGTACTACAGGATTAAAAGTTTAAAACTCATTCATGTTCTGCAAATAGTTTTATTACTGCAGCTATAATCAGACCTGGTTATTAAAAGTTGCAATTGCACACTCAAACATATCAGTCTGGAATCAGATTTCCTTATTTATGTTTAATCTTTCCCTAACTTGCTACTAAACTTAAGCTTTATTCAATTATCAAATTATGTCTATTGCCTACCCCTAACTCCCTGGAAAATGAAGGTACTATTCTATTAAACCTATGAATCTTTCAAAATCAAATCTTCATATGTAACTTGGGAATTTTACTCCCTAAATTATCAGATTAAAGTGATAAAATCATAAAATTGATTTCATTGCCTAGAGGAAGACTAACAACATTTTTTTTTCCATTCAAAGGGTTATTATTTCACCCACATATAGCACCCTGCAACCCAACATCAGCAAACCACCAATTAGTAGACCTTTTTGAAATAAGATATCGTTATTTGCTTATATGTGTTCATCACAGAGCTTGACATTCATGGCCGCGAATACCAAGGCATTTCTTTTATTTTTAAACTTGTAGTTTTTTGTTTTTTTTTTTTATTCCAACAGGGGTTTCAAGGTGAAGTTATGCAAGTCCAAGCTTGGGGATTTCCACTGCAGTTGGTGACACGTTGTTTTGGACAAACTGACAGAAGAAATGCAAAATGAGTGGCGAGATAAGAACATTCAAGTATTGATTGTGTGATAAGTGAGTTTTGAATTACAATGGGTGTGTTTACATTCTATTTATAGCACAAAAAATATAACAACTAGACGAGTTTGCTGGAGAAGATCGGTCACTCTTGATTGTTCGCCTAGAGTTCTGTGAGTAACATTGGTCATTTCAATCAGTTCAATTCCAATCTCTCGCTTCTTCAATTCACCATCATCAAGGTTAATACAAATGAATTGTGTGCTAGATTGGTCCAGAAACTTGGTAATAACACCGTCATCTTTTCATTTTGAGTTTTAGTAATACACTTACATGTGGGATAGAAGAATGTCTGCTGATAAATCTTACTGGTTTAATTAGTTTTAGCTCATTGAATTAATTTAGTAATTTTCCACTGGCATTCTGATGTATTTTTGTTGTGTATGCATGCTTAATTACTGCACTAGAACATTAAATGAAGGCTATTCTGATGTAATTCAGAATTATCAATCTAAATCCCTCTCTTCAACTTTTACTTCCCGCACTTCGTAAAATCATCCAAATGCATTACAAAGATAATAACAAGTTCTACATGCTCAATCAGCTACAAGGAAGTAATGTTACAACTGTTACAAGTGTATATTATGATCACAGAAATTCATAGGATATAATTTCTATCAGACTAAGAATTTGGCCTGTGGTAAGAATAAACTGCATAGAAGCTCTGTATGGCAGTAAGAAACAATAGAATGATAGCAGCAGCCAGTGAGATGATAGCCCAAGGATTATAAAAATACTTGTGAATCAGGCTTGCTCGCCATCTGTTTCTTCTCTGGTTGTAGTAAACATTCACTTCTCTAGATAGGTCTGCATAGTAACCATCATGTACATTCACTAGCATTTCTTTAGATATGCTCTTGAACATGTCAACAACTTGAGCATCATCTCCTAGAATAATTTTATGGCGGTGAAGGTGGCCTACATCTTCTGGGGATTTCAACAAGCATTCCATGAAGCTTACATATGATGCAATCACAGAATCACTTATCTTCAGATGACATTGCTCAAAGGCTGCTAGATTCAGGAGGATGGTCATTGTACTATCATGGAAAACACCATTAACCATCCACCATTAACCACAACAATCGCTATCACCTTTATGTTAACCTTGTTAATATTGGGTAATTCTCTGTTTCTTATTGTGACTTGTTTCTCATTGGGTATGTGTCAAGATTTGGGGCTCCCATTTATAACACATACGCGGTCCCCACCAGTGAAAAATATCACATTATTTTCCAAAATGCCACTATGAGAAACAAAAGTTTCTCATAATGAGGAACTGGGGCTCCCTCGTTAATATTACCTAATTCATCATTTTTTTCGCATACAAAATTGTTTATAATTTTTCATGTTTTTTTATTGTATGCTAGATTTCCAATTAAAATTTTATTTTTGTTGACTTTCGTAAGGTTGTATTTGTAGGGTTTTTTTTTTTTTTTTTTTTTTGGTATTTTAATTTAATTAGACTATCTTTATTCTTTACTCATTAAATTTGGCTATTTAGATTGTTGCTTAAAATTAATGATGTAAATATTTTTTTATTGTTTTACGCAAGCATATAAAAGCTAGTAGTTTTGCCGTAAAAAAATAAAAAAATAAAAGCTAGTAGTTTAAGAGTGAGGGTAAATGTAAGAAACCTCCACCCTCAAACTGCCCTATTGGGAATCTTGTTAAAAGGTACAGATTTTACCTTATGCAAGTTTTAAAGCAATAAACTTGCTGTGATACTGTCATTTTTCATTTAACTTCCAAATTAAAATGTATTCCAGTTGAATGGAGACATGCATCTTCATGAGGATCATTCAGCTCTGGATTCTCCTGCACCAGCTAAATCAGAAGCAAGGTCTAAGGTGGTGCAACAGTTTGGTGTTTGGATGGGTGAAGGTGAAGCTGGTCATGGTTAAAGCCGTTGGTTCGGTTATGCTTGGAAGATCATTAAGGATGGGATCCTAATGAGATAATATCGTATAATATATTTTTGGGAATTATATTATCTTATGAAATATTTGTTAGGATATATTATCTTATATTTTAGTCAAATTCTATCTTCCTAGAATATTGTTAATTCTAGGGTACTATATATTCCTTAGCAAGTTAATGAGAAAGGGGGCCGGGATTATAAGAATTCTTCATGGTATCAAGAGCAGGATAAATTTTTTTCCACCTCCGTCCCCTTCACCTATAATTATGGGTAATGCAAAAATTCCCGAAAATCATCTATATCGTCAATTTGAAGATACTTGTTGGATTATAGATACCGGAGCTACTCATCATCATGTTGCCGACAATAAATCTTGGTTATTTGATACCCACAACATTGAATGTCCAGTTGGGTTACCGAATGGCGATAGTGTACTCGCTACTTTGGAAGGATCGGTCCGTTTGTGAGATAAAATCACCATCAATGGAGTTCTTTTTGTGCCACATTTGACTTGCAATTTAATTTCCGTTTCACAACTTAGTGATCAATTAAAAGTTGTTGTTCGATTTAATTCATATATGTGTGCTATAAAGGACCAAATGAAGGAGCTGATTGGAACGGGCTTCGACGAGACGGACTTTATTACTTTAGCAAACCGGATGAAGTGCAACGTGTGTCTGTGATCGAAGCAACATCAGATTTGGAGCTATGACATAGAAGAATGGGTCATCCTTCGGAAAGAGTGGTAAAGCTACTTCCTCATATTTGCAATAATAAAGGTAGCCTAGCTAAGGGATGTGAGGTGTGTTTTCGTGATCAACATCCCAGAGACAAGTTTCCTTTGAGTGAGAATATATCATCTAGAATTTTCGAGAAAATACATTGTGATTTGTGGGGTCTGTATAGACATGTTTCGTCATGTGGAGCTCGTGATTTTTTAACTATTGTTGATGACTTTTCCCGGGTAGCTTGGATTTATTTGTTGATTGATAAGACTGGAGTATTTAAGATATTTATGGCTTTTGTTGCTAAGGTTGATAGACAATTTAATAAAACAATTAAAATTGTTCAGATTGATAATGGAACCGAATTTAATTGTTTGATTGATTATTTTGTTGCAACTGGAATTATTTTTCAAATCTCGTGTGTGGGTACTGCTTAACAAAATGGGAGAGTAGAGCGAAAACACAAACATATTCTTAATGTTGGGAGAGCCTTGAGATTCCAAGCCAAATTGCCTATTTATTTTTAGGGTGAATGTGTTTTAGCTGCAGCTCATTTGATTTATAGAACCCCAACTCCACTCCTACAAAATAAAACCCCATTTGAAATTCTTTCGATAAATCTCCTTCATTTGGTGCTATTCGTACTTTTGGGTGCTTGTGTTTTGCTCACAATCAAAAGACTAAAGGAGATAAATTCGCTAGTAGAAGTCGTAAATGTGTATTCATGGGGTATCTGTTTGGGAAAAAGGGGTGCAAGTTGTTTGACTTTGATACGAAGGAATTTTTTGTCTCTCGTGATGTGAAATTTGTGGAAGATGTTTTTCCTTTTGGTTGCCCCGAGAATGTTAATTTTGATCCGAATATTTGTTTAAAATCACAACAAAACTTATATTGAATACTAAAATGAAGTAGTTCGACACTTACTTTTTTACAATGGCGGATGCATGTGGCCTTGATGGGGAGCATTTGCATCCCCATTTTGCAAAAAAAAATAATGAAATTCAAGGCAAGGTAAAATATGTACTTATTCTAATAGCTTTTGCACTCCCATTTTCAAGTTGGTTTCCTAAAATACAAAACCAAGTAATAGAAATTCTAGATATATCATATAAAAACTTAAATGTAATATTATTTCTATTATACAAATATTGCAATGTTTACAATTTTAACACTATTCACATGCTCTTATCATAAGTCTTATGTAACCATATATTGTGCTTCATACGTCATGAAAATATAGTCATTTGAGATTTTGTTATCTTCGCATCAATATTATTATTATTATTATTAAAGTTCTCTTAAGGTTTAATTTGTGCAATAAGAGACGATGTAATTACCTCATGTTGCAATATAAAAGGAATGCATGATGTGGGTAAACTTAACTAAATAAAATAAGAACTAAAAAGTAAAAACATTTCGCATACATTATTAAAACTTTAATAATATCAATCGACATTTGATTTTGTAAAGAGTATCCAATTTTTTTTTGGTTATATTAAAGTTTAAAAAAATTTGGACCCATTTTAAAATTTCTAAATACGCCACTGCTTTTCTGTATGAAAAGATAAGATGTTAGAGTGACGAAAAGAGATCGTTAGCGTCAGAAAAATTCATTGGATATTCATAATTTTTCGAGCTTGGAACTCCATTTCGTAAGTAATAATAATATGGATGAAAACTTTTCCATCTTCATCCCCATAATTCTTCAACTTTTCATTAATCTTCCCTGAGTTTTCTTCTGAACAACTTATCCCACCACTTCGGTTATGAAAGCCTTAAGTTAGCTGATTTTGCTTCGCTCTCTGGTCAACTGATTAATTTTCATAAATCCTTTATAGTCTTTTTCTAAATATGTTACTCACCGAAACAAATCTATTTTGACAAGCTATTTAAATATGACCACTAAATCATTCCTTGGCCGTAACATTATACTTCTTTTGCTCTTATATATATCATGTTATGATTTTTGACATTATTAATAAACTTAGTCAATGTGTAGTTGAGATTGAAATTATAATAGGAAATTGATAAAGGCAAATAGTATGGCTTCTTGTGTGTATGTATGTATGTATGTTTTTCGATTGATTACTCATGACCTATATTTATAGTTGTACATGGAGCTTGGAAGATCGAATTGGTTGGATTATTCTAGAAGTTTCTTCATCATTCTTGTATTCATATTTGCGAACCATATTTCTAATTATCTCCAATATCAAGAATTCTCTAGATCATTTTAGTGGCTTGCATTATACAATTCAAGCTAAGTTCTTTTTTCCCTTAAAAAATTAATAATGATTTTTGCTTTAATCATAATTATAGATAGATTATAGATGGGGACGAAATTCGATTTTTAGTTCTATTTTCTGTTTAAAAAATCAAATCCAAACCGTCATCTTTTGTTTTTTTCCGATCCATTCTAAACTAATAATTCTGTTCAATTTATAATAATTATCCGAATAACTTTCACCTACGAGAGTGGGAGTACAGGCTCGAACACAATTATTGAACGGGTTAACACCCGCCGATAGGCCATAAGCTATAAAATTTAATTCAAGGGTAGAACCAGAGAAGGGAAGGAAATCAAGGAATTGACAACCAAAATGTTACTCCGTATTAGCAAATTACTCGTGCATATAGGCACACAGTAAATATTGTTACCACAGCACACTTGAGACACCTACCGATGGCCGAGGCAGTGAATAACTGAATACGAAACAACCAAGAATGTGCACATCACCTGTTCGGCATTGCCTAACTGAAAGATAATGTACACTTTCCCACTATTTCTTCTTCAGGCTTTCTCTGCACCCAACGTTCAGAATACACTAG